TTTGGCAGTACTGGAGTGGTAACAAAGCAAGAGAAAGACATGGAAAGAAAATTCTCTTAGAAGCAGGAAAATTTGCCATCTTCTCTAACCTGAAGTGACTGATCCTTTTTCAGCTGGAATACCCCTGGCCCAGGGACAGATGGTTCAGCTGGAGTTTCCTTATGCTGGGGCAGTGTGGAAAGTGAAAAGACACCCTATACCTTCTAAATAACACATTCCAGAAACAAACAAAAATATAAACACTGCTGTATGTCTCTCATTTCTGACTTGAAAGACAAATGTGGGATGATTCTGACTTCCAAATGCTACTACAAAATGATCCCAAGGGAGTAAAAATGCTTGGGCTGCTTGTCCACACAGACTAATACACACTTCTGTCATGGAAGGATTACCTCCACACAGCAAACTGAGAACTTCAGTTGGAGGTGGAGGATAAGAATGAGGGGAGATCAAGCCTCCTTTTCTTCCTGATGACAAGATTTGGAAAGTGGTGAAATCAAAATGGTCTCATCCAGGACATATTTTCACCTTAGGCACACAGTGCAGATACACTTTCATCAGGTCAACTGTTTTGAACTTGAGGATTAATGAAAAAGGGGCACAACATCATGCAATTAGGATTTATCTCTGGTTAAAAGTTAATTTTATTTGAGAAACAGCATATGTTTGAACACAGGGACTCTTCCCAGTTGATGAAAAGCCCTTACACTGTCACACTGTTGGGAAATTCCAGTGGTATTAGAGTAAATACAAAATTGGTTCAATGATTTTTCAATAAACTGATCCAATATAAGAATTAGCAGATTTTAAAGAAGTTTACACAAGCCTTAAATATCCTACTTGAAATCTGCCCAGAATTAACTTCCAGTATTTTTGATTCATGGTGTAAATTAAGTGCCTGAAAAAGCAGAGGACATATTTACATTGATTGATGCAGATTCTGACCGTGCAAGAGAAAGAAATGTGAAATCTGACTCATACAAGGAGCTCCTACAGTGACACAGGCAGCAGGGCTGTAGCTTTTGAGTAAGTGTGCCAATCCTGCTCTTTCTGACTAATATTCCACCATGGCACCTATAGATTTGCCAGTTAGAGCTCTTCTTTTTATGGAAAACTGATCCCCCCCAACCACATTAGAAGCTGAACAACTTTATCATCTCTACACTTGTACAATTTTGCCAAGCCAGGGACTCGAAGGGTTGCGGTTTCCTTGGATCATCAGTGCAGAATATTGACAGTAACGAGCTCTTTGCACTTGGGAGTTGCTATTTCCAGGAAAACGCCTGTGCCAGTCCATGCCCGCGAGGTGGCAGCCTGTGCGGGAGAAACCTGCAGGAAAAGAGGGGTTGTCCTGAACACCTTCCCCCTCCCCTGTGCAGGCAGCAGTGGCCTCTGCCCTGCAGCCCCGGGCAGCACCCTCTGCCCCAGGTTCAGGGGTTCGATAATGCCGAGCGCCCGCACATCAGCCAGGATCCGACGGGCAGGGAGCAGGCCAGACAAACGGACAAGCAGGAAATACCACCGAGAAACCAGGCGGGCTGGGATGATTTACAGGAATAGCGGAAAAGTTCCATCCCTGAAAACACAGCTGGAGGGGGATGCAATGAAAGAGACCCAGGAGGCTGATGGCCAAAAAATACTTTGTGCTGATGAGCAGCAAAAGAGCTGAGTTTGCAGTGCAATAAATGTACATGAGCACAGGAGGGTGCTGCTTTCTCTTAGCGAAAAGCAGCATCTCTCTTCCCTGCTCCGTGGGGCCATCAGTTTACAGGCCTCAGCAAGGCTTGTGTTTGTTCATCCTGGACAGAGCCCGTGGTGATGCTGCTGCTGAATAACCCCAGGTCGCTGCATAGTTCTAGAGTATAGTGACATTCAGGTGAAGGGCAGATTGTGCTTTGAGGTGATGACCAGCACAGCCAGGAGTCTGCTGGAAAAGCACCCAGGTCTGTCATCCTGAGAAGTGCTGGTACAGGGGAAGGTGTGGATAATTTTACTGTTATCCCTCTCTAGCTAAGGGTATAAATCAGAGACTGGGTGGTTGACATTCCCATTGCCCTTGTGTTCAGCTGTTCAAGGACAGCCCAGAAGGTGGCACATCATTTGCCAGTTGGTCCAGGCTGGAGGAGCCAAGACACCAATTTCTATTGGAAATAGCTCGGTGAAAATTACACTGCAATTTTGTACTGGGTATCATTTGCCTTTTCTTAGCAGTGTATCAGCTGGTAGTGGGGGCACAAGGATGGGTAAGGAAGTGCAGGAGAAGTGGTCTAAGAGAACAGATCAAATCAGATGAATGTGACAGAGAAGCCTGGTTTCCTTATTCACAAGTCTGAGTCGTCCTGTGTACAGGACAAGAATAATACATGCAGACACTGATGTACCCTCAAAAAAAAAAGCAAAAAAAAAAAAAGCCCAAAGGATGGAAATATATTTTAGAGTTGGAGGGATGCAAGAGGAGCTGTATCATAGACAGCAGAGAGGCTTTGAACAGAAGAAACAGAGATACTGAAATTTGCTGCTAAACTCACTGGTGCAATTTGAGACCCACAGAGAGTGACTTGAGACAGCAGCTACCACTCACCCACTGGCCTCTGGTCCTAAACCTCACTTACATTATGCAAAAGGAATTAATCAATAGGTCTGGTTTCCTCCTGGAAAGCCCAGGGAAAGGAAGGTTTGGCTTTTCTGACACAATTCCATCTCCAGCTGCCAGAAGCACTGTCCAGCCTAACATCTTTGAACAACTGCATGGGGTTACCTCCTTGGCCCTGTACTGGGACAGCACAGACAGCCAGATTCTGGGTTCAGAGGGGGAGTACATGGCTGGCAGGGCCAGCTCTTTGAGGATAACAGGATGGAAATGTTATTGTTTAGGGCAGTTTCTGAGCCCTTTTCCCTGCCTCCTCACATTGTCCTACATTTATGAAAACATACAGGCCCTTTATTTCAGAAGCTGGTGTTTTCCTAAACCCCTGAGCTGAGCAGTTTCCCTGACTTGGGAGTTTTACCTCCCCTAACAGCTGCATCCCTGATAAGAAATTGCAACTGCATCATTACAGAAATATGGGGGCTCTGTTTTCCAGCCCAGGCAGTGTGCAGATCATTTGGACTGGCATCTTCCCAAGCACAGTGTTCTGAAATGTCACTCTGCTCCTGGGTGAAGCTTGGCTTCTCCCCAGCTTATCTTCTCCTTTGGCTTGCAGCATCTGTGCATCTTGCCCTCATTTCTTGGCATGCAGGTGCCTGAAGGTGTAGAAGACAGTGCTCTTGTTAATGCTGGGAAAATGAAAATAGATGTATTTTAAATCCTAAAGGGATTTTGCCAGGGTACTTCTTGCCATCATGCAAAAGCCCACTTTTTGAATGGACCCCCAAATGTAAGGGAGATGCTTTGGAACAGCACAGGGAATGTTCAAGGCCTCCTGAAAGGGCTCCAGCTGCTTAGAGTCACTCTAAAGTGGGTCATTGCTAATGCTCCTCACAGGGAGCATAACTCAAAGTCTCAAAGCATAACTTTAAGCCTTTGGATTTGGAACTTTGGGTTTAAGGTTTTAATGGTAAACTTTGCATATGGGTTTTGGCCATTCTCTTCCTCTGCTGCTGTTGCATTTCCTTTTTAATTTTAGCAGATTTCCAAGGGTGCCAGACAATCAGGGAAGAGGAATTGACTCAAATTCAGACAATGGGCCACAGAGCAGCCCAATTCCGTGATGGTGTTTCCACCTCCAACCAGCTTCCTTTTGAGCAGAGCCCACTGGTGTTCCTCTGGCAGTGGACAGCGATGGCCAGGGTTGTATTTCAGACCACTGAGAACCAAAGCCATTCCTGAAGCACTGGGAACATTTGGAGGCTAAGTTCTTATCTGGGTTTCTACAGAATATGCTGTTTCTGAAAGCTCTGTGTCACATGGAGCCTGGTAAATAATGAATGCCAGGATGCATAGCTAAGTGTTGGCATACCAAAGGAGCTGCGTTCTGAGCAGCAGCTTCTCAGCCTGGCAGCAGCAGGACACAGTTTACCTAAATTTGCTCAGCTGTTCTTGGTGGTTTTTTTTCTTTAAGTTGATAATAGCTTTTCCTTTTCTGTCATTAAATAGCTTCTGATAAGAATTTATTTTCCCAAGGGAAACAGGAAAGACTTGGAAATCTCTGGAAAAAGGAGTAAAAAAAACTACCACAAATCATAATTGTGTATTCCACTTTCTAAAGCATTTCATTTCCCCTCCTGAACTGTGATTTGACATCTAGAGGAAAGGGGGGGGGCGAAACCTGATTAAACCAGGCTCAAGTTTGGACAATGCAGCCTCAGACCCAACATTTGTCCCAGGTCCTGCAAAGTTTTAATCCCAGGCATGGAAGAAATCAAAATCAGTTCTTTACTCTGTTGTGGCCATACCAGGAGGGAAAAGCAAATCCTTGACAAAGGTCAACAGAGACCCAAAGGCAGCTCGTGGAGCTGGCCTTGTGCAGCTCTGTCCTGATTAAAACACTCAGGGAGTGGCTTAATGTTACATCACAGAGTTTTGGCAGCACTGACATGGGCAAAGCACTACTGCTCTGCCCTGTTCTCCCTGTTCCCTCCTCACAAGCCCTTATCTTCCTGTCTGTGTCGTCTGATTATGATCAAGGTGGTTCTGGCCCCTCCAGAGCCTGCCTGTCCCTCAGCATGATTCCTTGGTGTCCTTAAATAGGCTGGAGCTCATAGCAAACACACAGGAATTAAACAGCAGCAGGGAACTCAGTATCTGCTTAAATATTCTGATTACAGGTGTATTTAAAGGTGCTAAATTTCTGAAGCCAAAAGGCATTCATAATGTTCATTAAGTTAATCATGTGTCACAATTTCTTGTGCAAAGAGATGGAGGAAAAACCCCAGCTTAATATTGCACAACAGGATTTTTAAGATGTGCTGGTCTCAATTCCATTTATATTTTGCTGTTCCATAAAATTGTGTTTTAGGAATAGATTTATACTAGGCCAGTTCTTTGGAGTTTCTGATTGCCACTTTTTTTTTTTTTTTTTCCCCAGTAAGTGTATTTCTATAAAAATGTAGCCATTTGTAAGCAACCAATGTATTCAATAACATTTCCCTCTGTGGTACATTTTTTCTAGAAATCCTGAAATGAGAAACTCTGAAATGGCAGCACACTGAGAGCGCTGTCTCCATTTGATTTCCTTCTAGCCTGAATTTTCAGAACAGTTACATTTGGGTTTCAGTTATACCCTACACTGGCTGATGAATATTAAACAAGGTCTACAGACATTTCTTGGGTTTGCTTTTACAGCCCCTGCTTGCACAGAGATATATCTTTTTTTATGGTGCCCTTCTTGGTGCCCTCTATCCCACTATTTTATTGTTCCCAGGTTGTTCTGAGAGACAAATGACAGTATGAGAAAGGAGGAGAATGATTACATTTTGCAGGGAAATTATACAGAGTAGAAAATCAATAGTTAGATGCTCCCCAGGACTGTCTAAAACTTCTTTGAAGAATAATTAGCTTGCAAGAGAGCTCTGGTAGCTGGAATTCCTCCCCAATTCTGTATGCATAAGATAAATTTAGTCTGGAATAAGCAGTGTGCTTTGAGGTCTCTTTGCTGATCTGGGAAAATGATTCATGTGGAGAGAATGTTAAGAAATTAGATAGAAGAGGTGTGGAAGAAAACCTGACTGACCACATCCATCCTGGGCTTGGAAGGGAGGAACAAGCAGCAACAGAAAGAAGGAAAACCCAGCAGAGCAAAACTGATGGGAGTTAGGGGCTGGGACTCAGCACCTGATGATCCATTGACTCTGTTCCAATGACAATTATCCATTGGACTGGCAGAGCTGAGGAATTACCAGTGGGGAGGGCAGTCCAGCTCACTCCACTGCTGTAAGTGGTTCATTTGCTTCAGCAGCACGAGATCAAGGGCTGTGTTTAAGCAAACTGCCCTAGGCAGGGATCAGGAGGGGTTGGAGGGGACAATGGGGAGCAGCAGAGGAGTCTGGGAGAGCTCTGTTGCTGTGTGCTGGTCCTTTGACCATTTTCAATGTGCTGTTTCCTTCTGGGATGTTGCTTGAGGTAATCCTGAAGTCAGGAGATTTAAGAGCTCTGTTGATTTGAGCTGCTCTGGACAGAGCTGGCCTGGGAGTGAGATCAGTCTTGCTCTCCAGAGCTGTCAGTACTCTCTCTTTCAGAAGCATAAAAACACCCTTGGAATGCACAGAAAGCTGCTGCAAGAGGTGTCAATAGCAGTTCATGACAGATTAAGTGACATCTAATCAATTCATTATCTCCCTTAAAGGAAGAACTAATAAGGCTGAAGAATGTGCTGGAGGCATAATGTAATAGGTATTATGGGAGATTTAAGAGAGATTTAACAAAACAAGAGAATGAAGCAGCAGGAGAAGTCACCATAGTGGAGATGATCACAGAGCATTGGAGAATGATCTCCTAGGACCAGTGAAAAATCAATGTTTAGTATTTCTTGCTATTTCCATTCTTAAAGCTGTAAGCATTGTATAAAAATACATCTCTGTTTTGTTTGGGTTTAGTGTGTTGGGTTTTTTTGTTTGTTTTTTTATATGAATCTATTCTTAGGAACCAGAAAAACATCCAAGCACATGTGTAGCAATAAGCATGTGACTCAACCACTCTACAGCCACAGATGTCTCTCCCTCTTAATTAAATATGGGCTAAAGTGGTCTGTTGGAGCAAAGCCCAGTAGTGCAGGTTTGAGCTGTAGGTCCAAAAGTGGTGCTAACAAGCAGGTCTAGAATTACAGACCTGCCAACTTACCTTTAGTTCCTGGAAAAACACTGGAACAAATAACCAAACTATTGGAGAGCACCTAAAAGAAATTGAGGGGATGAGTAACAGGCAGCAAAATTTTTTTTTGTGACACGAGACTCAAAGATTTAAGTTCTGAAGCTGCTTCACATGTGCCTTTATAATGATGATATGGCTGAAAATATTTGGATGCAAAACTGGTTGAAAAATTGATAGGGATGTGTTTTAGGGGGTGGTTATTTTGTCTTTCATGGGATGGCTGAGGCAAGAGGGAGAATGCAGTTTAAACTTGCAGCTGGCAACACTTTAGAAAAGCTGTGAGCACACTGGGCAGGCTTAGAATTCAGTTTGAAGCTTGCAGGTGGAGAGGTGGTAAAAAACCCACCAAAATCATCTTGCCATGCAGCTGAAACAGTGCATTGTCCCTCTGCTGAAACAGATTTATGTATTGCAATAAACTCTCCATATAGGTTATTCTGTAGTTAGGACAGGTTGGGGACCAACAGCTACATGTGTAGGTGACTTATCAATAAGGATGAAAGATTTTGATGGCTCACAAGCGGATCATCAATAAACAACACCGTGCTGTTACGGAAAAGGCACATTAAGTGAGTGAGCAGGACTGTTCCCCCTATGGAAAGTGCAATAATCCAGCAAGCAGGAGCATTTGCTTTTGCCTAGGGTACTTCAAAGTTGAGCTGGACTGGGTTGAGTATGAAAAGGCTCAGGAAGACTGATCCAAGGTCTAAAAGGCTTGATTTGCTAGGGAAGATGGTGGGGGTTTCATTCTCAGGAGAGAGAGGCTGAGGGGAAGACTATTTCTCCCCAAAACACTGTCAGCTGCTATGAAGGAAAAAGGCAATAATTTGGTCTTCCTGACCCTGGCAGTTAAGACAAGAATCTTTGGGCTAAATTGCTTCCGGGGAAAATCAGGGCACTTTATTTTTAGTAACTAATCTGATTCTAAGGGAGTGTGAAGGACTGGAACAGATTTCCTGGGAGAGCTCTGTGACTCTTTCAAAATAAGCTAGACCCTGTCAGGAATGGCCTTTGCATGTCCTCCCCTACCCAGACCAGAGGACTAAATAATCTCTGGAAATCCATTCTAGACCTCTGTTTCTATTGGGGCTGATTTACACTAATCTGCCAGCATAAATCCAGGCTGACTTAACTAAATCTGAGCCAGTAATATCATCTCAATGGAAAGGGAATCTTGTTTTCTCAGCAGTACAACTCTAGTTATCCAGAGGTTTTCCATCTTGGAAGCATTGAATGTGTAAGTGTAACTTTCTAGGGTAACAAGTATTAAATGTGTGAGTACAGAGAAGAACAGGGTAGGAGGGTGCATGAAGCAAGGAGTAAATCACAATATCTAACTTAAAACTCATTTCATAATTAGTGTGTGAAGTACAAGTTGTTGATTTTGTTCCACTTTGCCTGAGCCCCTCAGTGATGGTTTTGGAGGCTGATAGAGAGCAGTAATGTAGAACAGGTTTCTGACAGCTCTCCAAGCAGCAGCAGTAGTACTACAAATAGGGAATAACCAAGGTAACTGTATTTTTTGCTTGACTTCTGAACTTGCTTTATAAACAAGCTCCCAGGAAAGCAGTTTCACTGAATTCTCCTCATTAGGAAAACTGACTAATTGGTGGGACAACCAATGTCTAATTGGCTTGATCTCGGTTTCCTAAACCCAAGCTCTTGAAAATGTGAAGATTTCTTTAACAGAAATGCTCAAGTTCAAATGCTGTGGGATGATTGGTCAGCAGCATTATCCAAAGCCTGTCTGGAGCAGTGGATTAGAACTCCAGACCCCTTGACTTTCTCTTTTCCCCAGGTCATACTCTGTAATGCTCCTATCAGTTTCACTGTCCTGTCTGTAGGGGTGGACAGGTTCTCACATCCACTGGAAAAGAGGCAGAGGAGTGGGAGATCCCTTCTGAAACAAGAATTCAGCCATAGCAGTGGGTATTTAAGGTTTTGATCAGTGTTTGAGGTTTGTTCTGCTGGTCCTAGGCAAGAGAGGATTGTTATTTAACTTCTCCTTGGACGCATGGAGCTTTTCCCGTATCGCTGCGTTATCAATATTTGCATCTGTTTGAACGTATTTGTGCAGTGACGATCTTGGCGCTCCAGGGAGGAATGGTATTTCAGGCTTTGCCTTGGGCACGAGCTGACCTGTGACACAGTGCAGTGCTAAGTGCATCCAAGTGGCACAATAGAAACTTGTGAGTTGTCCCTTATTAAAAAAAAATATTTAAAAGGCCAAAATAACTACCCATGAGACATTGTTTCTTGCAGTTGTGGTTTTTCATGCTTCTCGGAGCTGATACAACAGCATTGCCCATACTCATTTTTGCTATTTATTTTCATCCCTAGGGAATGCCAAAATAAATTAGACACATTATAGCAAACTAATCTTGTGACTTCATGATTTCCGAGTTCCTGTACTCTGGGACCCAGGCTGCTCGGACAGATGCTGCCTGTGGCAGTCACAGTTTCAATGCAGTGTCTGCTCACAGATGAGCAGCTATAAATGGCACAACTTCCCTCTCCTGAGGTTGTGGGGACAGGCATTTGGATGGAGGAGTGCCCCCCTCTTCGAGCTTTGCAGTGGAGAAAGCTGTTCCTCAGGGAAATCTGCCATTTGTAGAGATTATTTCCCCTCTTGCCTTGCACTTGTCAATTTGGAGATTGTCTCAGCTTATTTCAAAGTCAGTTTTAAGGCTTTTAAATGAGCTTTATACTGATACACCAATATGATGTTTATATATGCTTTTGGCTCTATCTGTTTAGAGAGATGAAAGCAAAAGTTAACACAAACTCTCTTTCTCTGTCTACCTAAAATCAAGGTAAAGGATTGTAAAGAAGGCCTGTGGCTCCTTAGAACACATGTTGTGTCCTGTGGTATGACACCAGTAACATCCCCTGATTGACATGGCACAAATTGCAGATACAACTGCTCTAGTAAAAAACTCAGCAAAGCCTGCGTGGCACCACCAGCCTCACTGCAGTGACCTCCATGGGCCTGGTGCTGTCCCACCCTGGGACCAGTTCTGCCTCATCCTGCTGTGTCTCTTGCCTTCCTATCTTTTGCATCTCTTCACTACCTCACCGATGAACTCTCAGCTCAGGGGCTGCTGCTGAGTTGTTCCTCCAAGGAAAAACTGTGTGACAAGCACAGGATCCAGATGTGTGTGATCTGCAAAGCCTTGGAAGTGTTGGGCTGTCTCCAGTGCAGGTGAGAAGCACGTGTGGCTCCTCCTGCAAGTCTGGTGCAAGCAGAGCCTTGGAGCACAGCACACATACGATCATTCTGCTCATATTGAGCAAGTCCCACCTGTCCCAAGACCTGTCACATCCACATTGTGTGTCTGGAGTATCCAGCACAGCCAGGACACACCAAGGCATGGTCACTTGTGCATGGCTGAATTTTAGACACAGAAAATCTCAGTCCTGCCTTTTCCTTTGTTGCAGAAGTGAGCAGTAGAAATGCAGGTGGTACTAACCATGGCTTAAGAGTGTTGAGCTAATTATAGAGAAACTTGAGCATGGCAAGCACGTCAGAGGGTTCTGTATGTTTATATTGATTAAACTATTAACAAGAATAGCAAATCCCATTACACTAATCATTATTTTGCTTCCCTGCCTTCTCCTCCTTCTTTGTCCTTTCCTGAATACAATAAACACATGAAGGGAAGTTTCTCACCTCAGGCTGTCTGAAATACCTCCCAATATCCAGTGTGGAGGTGGCTAATACCTGCTCTGGCTTCAGTGGAGCTGTTCCTGTGTCTGACCCCTGCTCAGGGGAGGATAGTTAGGAGAAAAATGTCCCCAAAAATAGAGGGATATTGTTACTAAGGGAGTGACAGTGCTGGAGAGTCTTTAATCCAAGGGGATCCTCTCTTAGTATCTTTTGACAGGCATGCAGACATCTATAAAGGAATAATATTGGCTTGTAGATTAGTTATTAACATAATTTAAAGTGGTAAAAGGATGTGTTCATGTAACCAGCTTCCCTCTGGTTCTCTGTCACCACTAACATTTCAGTTCTGTTGGGAAATAATTTTACAGTATTTCCCAGGAAAATCTGTTCTATTTGAAGTCAAATTCTGCACTTTCTTAAAAAGGTTCAAAAAATGGAAGTATTGCAGTTAAGACTGAGGTGAAAGAACAGGTCTTGGATGATCAGTTCTTTCTGTTCTGAGTTGCAAGATATGGAATTTTGGTGCTAAAGCTATTTTTCTTTTAGCAGACTTTTATAGCCCAATTACATTTTTATTAAATGGATCCAAGTGATCTATTGAAAAACATGTTGGAATTGTTGGGGTTTTTTTCTGAAAACATTCATCAAGACTTGGAATACTTTCAGGATTTTCTAAATCTCTAATTTTAATGGCTGTATGCTTAGGGAAATGTGTCTAAAAAGACATTGCCAGAATATTTTGGCCAGGTTTTTAGGCTTGAAAAGCCAGTTGCTTTCATTTTTTTGTGTTATACATTAGTGATGAAACATTCAACGCTATTTAAGGAATTCAAATCCCTCATTCCCACTCAAATTAAAAGCATCTGGGCATTCAGATCCCTTAGTCATCTTCAGCAGTCTATAACTTCAGTGTTAGTTCGATATAACTAATATGTGTTAAACATACTTTTAAGTGCAGTTATAATTTATCTCATGGTGGTATTGCCTCACAGTCATAATTTTATGTTTGCACACAGTAGTTCCCTGTATCCCAATGGACTGGAAAGCTTTATAAACAAATGTAGACCATTTCCAAGTCCTAGGGCCAGCAAAACTTCCACTGAGGTCTTCAGGAGCTTTGCTCACATAATGTCTCCAATAATGTCTCTAATTCAGACCATGAATACAACAGTGTACACAAGCAGGCAGCATCCTTTGCTTGAATGTCACTTTGGGAGAGAAGCAGTAGCTATGCAGCAGCCCACACATGTCCCCTGCCATATTTTGGAGGAGAAAATAACAGTTATCAGCTGAAATTGTACAGGGTTATGTGCACAGAATGGGATTTTACACTGAGAGAATTGACAGAGCAGGATTCTGACTAAACATTTCCTGGGATGTTCTGCAGAATATATGGGTTTGGCATTATTCATGTAACTGGTTATTTGCCAAATGTGTAAAGACTAAAATCTCAAGCTTTTAATTCAGGAATTTTCTGCTTTAGCATGTTCTCTCTCAGTGCTTTGATGTTACAGAATTAAAATGTTTGTTTTCAGTCTGATTTGATATTAAGCTGGTTTAATGTCTTACACAAGCTGTTTTGAAAGCTTTCCTTTTCCTCCCTGGATCCAGCTCCCTGGGAGGGTGACATCTCTTATCATCAGTCAGGCAGTTCTGAGTTGTGGCTTTAGATAATAAAATCCAAGCCCTAGCATTTTGCTTCCCAGCAGAGTTCTTCCTTTATTTCCTTTCACCTCAGATGTTTTTTCCTCTGTGCATATCCCAGTGTGCACAGTACAGCATTGTAATGAACAGCCCAAAATTTCAGTGTCTTGGTGTTCTCTTCCTTACAGATTAGACTTACAAGGAAGTTGCACACCTGTGTCATGGTTCTGAAGGTGTTTTCTGTCTTCATCCACATTTTTTTGTTGTCTTGCAACTGAAGTCACTGCTCATAATCCTCTGCTGCCAGGAGTTTGTCACTTCTGATCCCAGCTATGCTCCTTTTTTTCATTGTGGTGTGACAGTGCTAATGTGTAGTGCTCTGTGGGTTTCCTTCCTGGCTGAAAGACAGCAGGAGAGTTTCAGCTCTTCAGTGCTGTTTGCTCATTTCCCTGAGTTCATTCCTGCTGCTGTTTGGCTGCATGTGCTGCCTCAGCCCAGCTGCTGCAGCGGCCACTGGTGACACAGGGCAGGGGCAAACAGGCTGTATCCCCCTCTGTGTTCCATGCAGCATCCAGAGCCTGCTCAGTGGGCCCTGATCCAACACTCAGAAAGGTTAAAGATGCTACTGAGAACCAGAAACCTGCAGCAGTGTTAGATGGAGAGCCAGGGACTCTCTCCCCTTTAGCAAGAAAAGATCAGACCGCCCAGTGAAGACACTGGCAGGTCATCTCATCAACAGTCTGGCCTTTTATTTTCTGTTTTTAATTTTTTTTTCTGTTTTCTCTCCTGTCCTAAAGCCTGGAATCATAGGGTGCCCTGGGTGTTCCCTTTCAAGCAGGGATGTTGGGGAACACCATTTCAATTGCTCTTCCAGCCATGTGCTGGAGTAAATGGAATTCAAGGGCCTTCAGAACATGTAGCAGTGAGAGTACAGGAACTGGAGGCAGATAGTCCAGCAATAAACAAGATACAGGATATTTTGGGGTTTTCCCCTTTAAGAGCAATTATTGTACATATTAAAATCCAGTGAGCTGCTGGAGAGCAGTTAATGCTCTGCCTCAGTGTTGGAGACTGAGCCAGCTGGTCTTGTGTTTGCTACTGGTTTGAATGTACTGCTGTACCCTGGTCTGGACTCCTCAGGGCCACACTGAGGCAGAAAGGCAGCATCCTTGAGGTGTCAGAGTGCTGCAGGAGGCTGCTCCTGGGTGTTCTCCCAGCCCTCTCCCCACCACCTGGGTCCCCCTTCCCTGTCCCAGCAGGGGTAAGGGAGGTGCTGGTTACCTCTGGCAGGTAACTGAGCCCTGAGTGCTGCCTCACCTGTCAGTTTTTGGACTTCAGCAGAGGCAAGAGCAGCTGTGGGCTTCTCTTCAGGAAACTCAAGACACAGGTCAGTGGGTGAAAGAGGATTGAGACACACAGAGCTGCAAATAGAAAAGTGACACTGTTTAAACCACTAACCCAATAGCAAAAGATGACGTTTATGTATAAAAAGAAACCCCAAAACCAAACTTTGTTAGCACAGCCTCGATGGGCTTTGGATTCCCAGAGTGAACACCCTAGAGGTACTGCTCCCTGTACCATTCCTGCCACTGCTCTCTGCACCAGGGCTGTGGGGAAGGGGCTGCTCACAGGCTGAGCTCCCTCCACACAGCGCAAATGTGCCCCCCAAACATGACCTGAGTCATGGAAGCCAGCAGCAGGAGGTTTAGCAGTGAGCATCAGTGCTGCACCTCCCAGTGCTGGCTGCCTGGGATCCAGAGAGGGGTTGTGGGGAGTAAGGATGGGGGGAGAACCAGGCAGTTGGGAGAGAGATTTCTGGATTGTTTACATCATCTTTCTGGGATATATTCCACATCTAATCCCTACCACTTGGGAAAGGAGGAGATGTCTATTTTTTCCTTCAATTTCATAAAGGAGTATTTAGCTGCCTGCTCTTTTAATTTTTGTTACTGCTCTTTTCCTAAGTGCATTGGGACCCCAGGGCCAGAACCTGCCTGTGTTGTGGAGACCCTTACAAGCCCAAAGAACACCTTCCAGTGGTGGCAGTCTCACAGAGGACATTTCACACACAGCTAAAACTAAAGGTTATTGTTTGCAGTTTATAATTGAATAAGTAACTACAAATGAATGTGGCATGTTTTAATTAGAGGGTTATTTCTAATCAGGAAGTCTTCCTACAAGCAACTAGCCCTGACAACACAGTTCTTCCAAGTGAATGCTAAAACAGCAGTATTTTCCATGGGAAGAGCAAGCCAGGAGAATTTCTGCCATCTGATAAAGGCCCAGTGCTGCCAGTTACTGAATTCCATTTTGCTTATGGGAGCCATGAGGTTTTATTTTCTGTGTCAGGAGGAAGGAATGCAGCTGGTCCCTGGAACAGTGGGAGCTTTGCAGAGCTGATTTTGCACATCTTGGCTCTGTCCTACCCAGGTAGTCTTGTTTAAAAGACCAATCTGAGAGCAACATTTATCCAGAATATTAGCTAAAACCTTTAAACCCACATTTTAAGCTCTCTGTGACCTGGTGAGAAGTGGCCACAAACAAGGGCTTTGCTTTTGAAATTTCGGAAAGAATGTTAAGGAAAAAAACCCCTTTATTGAGTGCAACATTATAAAGACATTTTCCCCTCATCTAGACATTGTCAGAAAATGCAATATGTTCAGCTGTACCTGTCTGCAATAAGCAGTTCCTGCGTGGAGCCTTGAAAGTTTTCTTCCCCTCACAGGAGATTTTTCTCTCAGGTACCCCACGTGTGTCTGGTGCCCCTTCATCCCATATCAGGATCGACGGCTTCCTCATCTTCCCGTACATGCCTGCCAAATCAACAGGACATGAGCTAAGTTAACTCACCCAGCTCATTCTTGAATCACATGGTGATGTTTCTCCAAAGACATAACAGGTATAGATGAAATCTTGCCACTTGCAGCTCATTCTAATTAAAAACCTGAAGGTAATGAGCTCAATAGCAGCCATCCATGCTGGGAAGGAGGGGGCCATAGTTTGCAAGAGTCACAGCATTAGAAACAGAGCTGGTTCAAATGTAGTTATTCCTCTCTGTGTCCACTAAAATGTGTTATTACATATTCCCCTGGAATTTCAAATCTTTATTTTTTTATCAGTTCCTTGAAGTTCTTTCTATGAAAGTTTTGTGTTTCCATCGGTTATGTGAATAGATTATCCAGAATAAACAAGAGAAAGCTGTGTTCTATGAACAACCTAATGCACTTCAAATAGTTCAGCAACCTGCTGGAAAGTCAGATTACTTGCAGAAGGTCAAATCAATTTTATGATCAGACAAATGTTAGAAAATTGCTTTTCTTAGAAGCAAAGCAAGGGCAGTATTTTCCAAGAAATATGTTTGAGGAAAAATCAAATTACACTTATTAGAAACCATCACTGAATGAGACCTGTTCTCTTTAAGGCTCTTATGCCCTTTGTAATGCCAAGCCATTACATCCAAATATCACATGGGGGCATATCCAGGTACAGAAGTTTTTTACTCTGTAGAAAAAATGAATCAGAACTGGGGCATTTCTGTCTGAATAATCTTTGAAAGGGGATTTTTATCTGCTTGGGTAACTTCAAAAGAGAGTGCCAAGGGGCTCTGACCCATAAGAATGCAGTGTCTGCTTAGGAGTCATGTTTCTCTAATACCTGGTGGCTGCTCCAGATTGTCTCCAGACAGTGCATCCATGGGAGAGGGGAAAGGCTGGGTGCTGTTGGAGGAGACAGTGACTTCCTGCTTGAGGAAAGAAATGCCCTGCCTGGCCTTGGTGAGAGAGAGCCAGAATAATGCCTCCTTAATGTTCTAGCAAGAGCCCAAGAAAAGCTCCAGGTGACTTTTTTCTGGCCAAGAATTGTCCTTCTCAGCACTTTGCCTCTCTGCTTCTCAGAAAACAGAGCTAGGAGTCAAAGTCTCCTTTTACCTGCTGCCATGGCTGAGTTGCAGAGTCAATGCATCGACCTGTTTTGCATCAGTATCCACATGACTGACGCAGACAGACATGATCTGTGCCCTGGAGCTGGTGGCTTGAATAAAAATCTGCTGGAGAGGTCTGAAGAGAGGGATACAGAGAGCAAATGGATGACAGGAGCATTCCTCCTGTCACCTCTGTTTCCAGCATCCAAACATTTGGGGACTTTGCTTCTTTTGTATTATTACAGACTCTTCTCTCTTTTTTTTTTTTTTTTTTTAATGTTGTAACTTATTCTCATCTTTCTGCCTGTATTTTTATTTTCTGGACCTTATATAAATAACACTGGAGTCTGCTGTTCTTGAATGGATGGATAAGAAGGACCTGGTTCCTCCCTTTGCAGTTTAATACCTGGTAAATTAGTTAATGTTATGTGTATGGTTATGGGAAATGCTCGGGAATTTTCCATCAGTGTGTTTATTCATTGGAAAATGTGCCCTCCATAATTTAAAACAGGATGGAAATTCAAATCCCTAATGAGGACTAAAAGCTTTCCTGATTATGTTCAAGTCTTGAGTAGCAAAAAAAGAGAGAAAATGCATTTTTAGTATATTTAATATGAAACCACAAAGGTGGCTGAAGGGAAGGAGAGGAAGGCAAGCAACCTGAAAGGAGTTTTAGCTTTAGATTGGTGACATCTCAGTAAATTTAATAATGGCCACTTGAAATGGGAGTGGGGAAACAAGGCTGTAATGAAGGTCAGGCACCTGGACATACAGGAAAAGAGCGCTTCAAATCCAGAACAGGATTAGAAAAATCAAAAACTTTCTGGCTACTAAATTTTGGCTCTGCTCTAAGGTTTAAATGGACTTCTGTGGTGTTTATGTTTCTACATTGAGGGCAAGGCAGAATGGAATTTAAATGCCAACACTTGGATCTAGAGGGGAAAGCCAGTAAGAGAAGCAGCCAGGTGTTGTGCAAGATAGACACAGTGAGAAATGTTTTTATGGGAGGAAATATGAATGCTATTCATTATTGAAAATAACTATTTGTTGTGCCTCAGTCTGTTGGTTTAAAAAGTTACATTCAGTCAGGGGTTAGAAATGAATGCTGCCTGGCAGGGTAATTTCATATCAGACAGCTCATAGATTTCAAGCTATTTGACCAAACCAGAGCAGTGAAAACTAAAGAATAAATGTAGTTCTAGAAACCAGGGAAAAGCACCCAAGAACAGAAGGAAAGTACTCCTTTTCTTTTTCTCTTTTTTTTTTCTTTTTTTGACAAAACAATCAGAACAAATTATTTGACTAATGATAATGAAGCATCAGGTCTAAAATGTTTTCACCACGTGCATTTTTAATCCAATAGATGTGAAAAAAACCAAGTTTATTTTTAACCCTCTGGTGGCAGATGGTTGCCTGTCCTAAACTTATGCCATATTTTTGAAGTCAGTATTACTAAGTCAGCCTACCAAGGGGTGAAATTCAGCTCTGTGTTGGGATTTTTAAGAGCTTTAGTGCCACGGGCTATATCTGCCAGACTCGTCCCCTCAGGACCACCCCAGAAAAGCAGAGGAACAGTGTAGTGCCAAAGCAAAGCTCCAGGGGCTGAGCTGACCACGGACCTGGCCAACTTCTCTGTCCTGCTGCAAGGAGAACTCTGTACAAGAGTTTCCTCTTGCCTCCCTTTTCCTACCAAAAATGCCACACAGTCTTTCTGTGTTACCTTGGAGTTTGCAGCCTACGTGTTGGGAAAACAGTTTGTTAAATGGGAAATATGAAAAGAGTAGATTTAAAATAAATAATCTACTCAGATGTTGTGTAATCACAAAGATAATTTATTTGTATCAGGGAAGTATTTAATTATCATATACAGAAGTGTTCAATTTTTATACATGTTCAGTTTTACCATATAATCCAAATTAAGTCTCTGAGCATATGTGCTAGAACTGTTCAGCAGGTTTCTGTCTCCAAACATTGTAATATGGGAAAGCAGAGCTGCAGAAATGTTTTCTCTCACTTGATTCCCTTTCCCTGTTAAAACTGACCTCTTGAAAAAGTCCTTTCCAGAAGGACTGAAGTAAGGGGTGGAATAAAAACATCCAGGGGCACACACACTTTGACAAACTGCATTGTTTGAAAATTCTTTGGGCTTCACTACTGGTATCTTTCCAAAATATTTTCTGGTCAGAAGCTGCCCAGCTCTGGTTAATGGAAGACTGATGAAATGATAAGCTCTTTCCTGGGAAGTTTTTAGTTAGTGTAAGGGTTATGTTACACCTGTGGTTATTTCCAATGACTTCCATAATCAGAGATTAGCTTAGCATCATGCATAAATGATAAATAAATAGCTTCCCAGATCATTTGGGTTTATTTTACTTTGCATCTCCAATCCTGCCACTGCAGTTTCATGAAAAGGTGTTGATCACTCATATAAAGAATGACATATCATAAATATAGATATCTTTCTGGCAATCTCTAAAAATACTCTTCAGTCTTGTGTGGTTTAATGATTGATGCAGTTTGGAAATAAAACTCTTGTCTAGGGGTTGTTGTAAGATAAACTTATGGTTTAGGACTAAAATTCACATGAGCTAAGCGGGGGCAGTGTGAGGAGTGTTCTGTTTAGGATGCTAAAAATGGCTTCTGGCAGAATTTAGGAGCCAGTGTAAAATAAGTATCCAACTGCCTGGGCTTTGTTTGGTTTCTTTTTGAGAACTGATCCACTTCTGTTCCTGTCTGTAAACAGAAGGTTTGGAAGAAAGATAAAAAATGTCTTGGCAGTGCATGGCTCTTTCACCTCCTTCTCTTTCCATATTGTACTCATGGCTGGCATTGGTGGTGAGCATGGCAACGTGTTCTGAATGCACCCAAATAAAAAACCCTCCTTTTAACGTAGGGCAGACCAACAGGCATTTTTAATTATTGCTTAAAGATCTTGGTTTTCAAGCAGTGATCCTCTGGCCACCAACAAAAAACCAAAGCTTTGGGATGGAGGTTTTGAGCCCAAATGGGCTCTGCCCACAGGCAATGAGTGAGGGATGGGGACAGAAGAGAAGTGTTGCTGCAGCTTTTCTGGATTGTGTAGCACTTTAATCAGGAGGTTCTATGTGGCTGTCCCGGGTGCTCGGTGCTTGGAGGAGAAGTTGTCTGTCAAAAAAAGAGAATTACAAAACCACTTTAAGGAAGTGAAAATTGGCCTCCCATAAAATGTCCAGAGGAACTGGATTCAGGGCTTCATTTGGAAAAAGAAAAAGACACATTGACTCTAGGTGATGCATAGATTCCTATTTTTAAAAAGAAGCTTTGACTGGGGAACTCCCCTTCATCTTAAAATAAGTAACTCATCCCAGCCTATAGTTTTAGAATGAGATCTATTTTTTCTCTCTGGGTTTCATAGCCCTGATTCTGCTGTATCAAAGTGCTTCTCTCGTTTTGATAAATCCCCAAGAGACAGCAAGGCAATATAATTGCAAGCCAGTTTTTCAAAAACTGGATAACCCCCATTAAAGACACAAAAACATAGCTGCAAAAGTTATTCATTTCACTCGTAAGTCCAAACATGGTCATTTACAGCTTGGAAAATGGGCTGATTTATCCAAGGTGGCCTGCAGTTTTTGTAGCTGAGTGAAGTTAAATAATGCAGTACTCTTTAAAATTGCATGAGTATATGATTTTGTTTGCTTTATTCATTCCTACTCCCTTGTAGTTTATTGCAGTCAATGATTATTGCATCTGTTCAATCCATCTCTGCAGCTGCGGGAACGGCTGCTCATGCCATGCACTAAGCTAGACTGTTCCAAAAGAAAGCTGAACTTTCTCTCTGCTGTGAGTGTAGGAATGACTGGATGGCCTTGCCTTTATCCTAAGGAAAGCACAGCATGGAAAGTAAGGGTTACCTTCTAACAACATAACCTGATCAACCACACAGGCATCCTTAGAAACAAAAGTTTCTACAGTGTGGTCACCACACATGGCAGCAGTTCCAATGTCTCTGTCTCCTGTTCAGGCTCACTGTAGGGTCTTCTTTTCTGGATCTCTGTCCCAAGAGTGTCTTCCTGGACTAAACTGTACAGCAAACTAAAGTCTGGGAATGCTGAATGAGAGGTGTGAGGCAAGGGGAAGTACCTGGAGAGCATCTACCACTGCTACCTGCTGCACAGCAGAACTGCAAAAGCAGCCTGACCTTTGGAAGAGGTGGAGACTGTCCAAGGAGCCACGGGGCTGCTGGAAACCTCAACAACTCAGTCTCTGTATAGCTCTGCCAACCTCTCAGTGCACAGCCCTGAGCAATCCACTGCAGCTATGGACACCCCTCCTTGCCCAGGATTAGCTGTACCTTCACAGGCTGGTGTGACTGCCCTCACAGCTCTGCTCAAAGAGATTTCATCAGTGTCCCACGGTGCACAGAAGAAAGTAATGAGCTGGATTAACACGACTTAACACACCCATTTAAACTGATCAAATGATAAGGTGATCTTGCCTGCGCTAACTTAGGGAGAGGTCATGAGAGCCACTTTGCCAGCAGCAACATGGAGAGGAGGACAGATGGCCAAGGATGACAGTCCAATATCTCCCACTGGCCTAGCTGTCTGCATTGAGGCAGCTCTTCCCAGGCCCTTTGGAGCCTGCAGAACAAGGCTTGGAAACATGCATTTGCTACAGGTGTGAAAAAACATGGTGAAGTGTGGTGATGGCAGAATATTTCAAATATAGGTCCCAACATTATTTAGGAATTGATATTATTAATTTGCATCAGTTCTTTCTCTGCTTGTGTAAAAGTTACTGCCCTTTCTATTTCAGAAACAGGGATAGAGGGAGGGGGGTGGGTAAGTACCAAAGAATCCAGCAGTTGTCAGGTCTTATCTGAGATTCAGATACAAGAAACTAAATCCTGACCCAATGAAAACCAACAGAACTCTAGTAAGCAACTTCAGCAAAGCAGAGATCTGAATGAACAGAGGAAGACTGTCCAGGGTGAGGCATTGCTCACATCAAGGATCATCTCTCCTGTGGGAGCCTGAGGAATTACAGAGGCTGCCTCATCCCTGGAACTGTTCAGGGCCAGGCTGGATGAGGCTTTGAGCAACCAGGTCTAGTGGAAGGCGTCCCTCCCCGTGGCATTGGGGTTGGACCTAGATGGCCTCTAAGGCCCCTCCCAACCCAAACAATTGTGTGATCCTTTGGCACAGTCAGTGCTGGTTTTGCTTAGCCCTGTGACTTGTGTGTGATCAGGTGAACCCTGAGGTATTGTGACAGCAGAGGCTCCAGCAGTTAACCAGACGAGCACTTTGGTTGTCTGAACACTTTTTGAGTCAGGTCAGGTTGCTGTCTGTTGGGTCTTGCCTCCCACTACATTTTTTCCTCCTTGCCCTACTCCACCCTCCCTGCAGTCAATCCTGAAAACTGTGAAGCAATTGCCATCATTTCCAGGCAACCTGCCCAAAGAGCAACACGGCGCAGCAGTTTCTCAAGCAGCTCGATCCCAGAGGACTTGGACATGATGCCAAGAGCTCTTGCAATATCTGATAGTACAAGCTCAGCTACTGGAGGTGAGCAATAAAACTCCTTCTCTCATCTTTTTCCCTCTGTCTCATTGACCTCTTGGTCACAGAGAAAGTTTCAATATCTGATCTAAAGGCACCAAATGCTAAAAGCCAGAAGAAACAAAGGCTTTTTATGAACCAAGTTAAGCTATCACACAGCAAAGGAAGAATTTGGAAGGCGGCTGACTTGCACTTCTCTGTGTCTTTGTTACATTCTCCTTAGGCCTGGTAGCATCTTATTCATTTGTACAGTCACTGCAAAATAAATGTACTAGCTTTCCTGAAAATTTGGGTTGTTGGGCCTGTACTAGATTGAAAGCCAGATTATTTTAGCTGTTACAAGTATTTTAATTCTAGAAGGAACCATGACTAGGGGATTCTGTCTTCACTGTGTTACTCTGAAAGGCGTTTAGGACGAATTTCAAAAGATTTGATTATATAGAACAAGTATCATTTTATTTACCATATCAAAGATACAACCATAAAAAAGTCCTATGGGGACAAGTAAGTAAAAAAAAGAAGACCAAAACCCATAAAAATTAGCAAAGGTTCATTTCTTTAGAAGCTAAAAATTGCATACTCGAAGTGCATGAGAAGTTTTTAAATGGAGAAGATGGTGTAATGCTTCTGCCCTACAGGATTAACTCTTCTCCTGCCCAGGAGAAGGATCTCTCTCAGATCCTGCTGACCAAACTGCATGTGGGAACCCACTAATGCAGGCTTTTGATTTGGTTTAAATTCTTTCATTATCAGTCAGTTGGTGGTGAGTGTTCATGTTCACCTATGCCAAAAATATCATAGTAAATTTTGCAAAATGAATATCAGCACTCACTTGAAACTGTTAACAAAGAAACCCAAGGAAAAAAAAAAATAGGTTTTTCTTTCTCTTTTTATTTTTCTTTTATTTTTCTTTTTTTTCCCCCTCCCAACATACTGCTTTGATCTGCCATGCAATTGGGTCAGCACTTGGGAAATACATTTCCACATCTGTGATGTGAATACTATGCAGGAGATCCTAAAAGTAAAACCTCATGGATCCTACAACAGATCACCCTGTCAAAACAACAAGACACCCGCAAAAGCCTTTAACTAGCACGGGGACCAAAGTAGTCAAGAACCAAAAAAGACAGGTATCACTGTGCCAAATTAGAACAGCACAGGCCCACAGAAATCACCAGCTCCCACAGATCATTACTGGTTAAGAAAGCCTCTGTTCTTCATTTCCAGAACACAATTATGCTGATACTCAGCTTGGAGAGCTTTTAGGCCTTGTCCACACTAGAAGGTTTTACCAGAGTAATTTTCCTAGGGTAAATGAGCCTAAATTCTCAAGCAGGCAGCCGAGCACTCAGTCTGAAACCCACTGCTGGTGTGCAGGGAGCCATTTCTGGAGCCTGCAGGCAGGCAGTGAATAGGGGGATGTATTCTGGGCCATGCAGAGTTGCACAGGCACTGCTGGTCTACTGGGTGCTTCTGAGGAGAAGAGCAACGTGAGAGAACTGTGTCCTGAATAGCTGCAGCCAGCAGCAGGTGCTGGCTAGGGTTCCCTACCACCCCTCCAAGGGTGTCTGCAGTACAGGAGGCTTCATGGTGCGTGCTCTGACTTCCAAAATGTCCTTCCTCTGCAGGGCCTGGGAGCACAGAGACAACTTTCAGTGCTGGGCAGCAGTAGCAAGGGTCTTACTTGTCCTGGGGGAGATGTGGATGCTCTCTGAGATCTCAGCTCGGTGTGAGCGAGCAGAGATGCTGCCCTCGGAAACCCCAAAAGGAGCCTCGGAGGGACCACAGAGAGAAGAGCATGAAGGAGAGGGATGGAGAAGCTGGAGAAGGAAGGCAGCAGTATGCGGAAGCAGAGAGATCTTTGCAGCTCAGTGGGCTCTTAGGGAGGTTCACAGTGGAGGAGAGGGGTTGGCCTCTTCCCTTGTAACCCCATAGCCCTGAGGGCAATGAGGGTACAGCCCTGATGGCTGAGGCTGAATTCTCCATCACTCCCAAGTGATGTGAAATTATGGCTGTGGGGATACAGATCCCTGGATCCCAGGGGTTACTCAGCAGGGCAGAAGCCAGTCTTCCCACTGGCACCCTTCACCTAGGAAGGACAGGGGAGGTTCTCCAGCAGTGCTTACATCCATCCCCTCAGTAGGACACTTGCCCCGTGCTTGTTCCAGATGAGCTCTGCAGGCTGCTTATGGCCCTGTGTTCCCACAGAAACGGTGGCAGTGTGCTTCAGAGACCCTGTCCCAACCTGCCACACAAAGCTCTGACCTGACTCTTATGAATCCCATAGCAGCCAAGGAGTCAAGAGGGAGCTCAGTTGGGTTCCTTTTTATTCTGGAAGAGGTTAAAAATCAGACACACCTCAGGTCACTGTCTGGGCTTTGTTCCCCCTTGTTCATTTCTGTGTTTTCTTCTCAGAGCAAGTCCAGCCCTCTGTGCCTTGATAGGACCTTCTCCCCCTCCTTCCTTGGCCTACCTTGCCTTCCTTCAGGGACTGGGGTCTGCTGGGGCCCTTCACAGCCACCAAAGCAGGCTCTTTCCCCTGGAAAAAGCAAAATTTTTGTTTTGCACAACAAAATGCAATGCAGTTAGAGTGTTATTGCCATTTGCTAAAGCATTCCTGCCTTCCTCCTTTGCTGAACTACAATCTCACAATCTTATGCATTTTAATTTCTGCAATCCACAAGTTTGCCCTAAAAGTTACCTTTCAGGGATAAGTGGCTTTCTATGAAGGTTTTCACTGTCTTCTGATACTCATCTTCAGTCAGATGGAGCTGGGCTACCTCCTTGTTCGATGAGCACTCTTCTGTCACTGTCCTCGCCTCTTGAGCAGACCATTGTGCAGCAGACACCCCGAAACCTGCTTTATCCAGGTTCCTTGCAAACATCCTCCCAATGGAACTGTTGGACACAAGAATTACAATTGCTCTCCTTTTCACATCAACATTCCTCTCCACGGTGCCAAAGGAGAAGATGATAACGCAGCAGGTCAGAAACGCGATGGAAACGCACGCGAAGGCATAAAAGAGGCAGGAAAGGGTCATGGCGAGCACTAAGTCTGTGGCCAGCAGGAAGAAATGCTGCAAGAGGAAAATCATTGTTAGGAGGATTAGCTTCTGCCTCCTCACTCTCAAGCGAGCCGAGGAATCTGCCAGGAGTCACCGCGTGCGCCACGCTGTTATAAAGCCAGGAGCCTTGCGAAATGTGCGGAGGCAAGGCAAAGCCCCGTGGGGGGATGAATCATTTTCTGGGATAGAGCAACAATAGGGATTTTCAAGCCACGTACATTTTCAGGCAAAAGCAGTTTGTCTTGGCTTTGCTGTGCACTTGGATGCTCTGCTGGGCTGAAATGTAAGGATTTGTTTTGTAAGGCCATTTCGTCATGTGTCGTCTTTGGGGCCAGTGATGTATATAGGTTATTTGGAAGCAGACAGTTTTAAGGGATTTCTTCAAAGGGCGTGTGCGTAGCACTGGGAAACCATGAAATTGAAATAATCCCCCATATCTGTTTGGCACTCTGAGGCTCTTAAATTTGGAACTCTCCTACTGCTGTAATGCAGGTGGTTTCAGAGAGTCTGGGCAAGGACCCAAGTGGGCACAGGAGTGGGAGCCCTTCCCTGTTGTGCTGTAAAACAAACCACCCTGGGAGCGCTGTGCTGCTGGGCTCTAGGAACTGTGCCAGTCCAGGGAGGGTCAGAGACAAGAAACAAGCTGGGTGCTGGAGAAAGAGGGTTTTTTTTAATGACAACAGAGATTTAAGGAAGGGTCCTGCCGTTTCTTAGGCAGGCAGAGCAGTGCCATGGCACAGGGTGTAGTTATCTCTGCTTGCAGGGCACAGAGCAGGGCTCCCTGCTACTGCTGTAGCCTCTGCAGAACTGGGGGGAGCCCAGTAAACTTGTGAGTGAGGCCAGCAAAGGTGAACGCTGCATCAAAACTCAGATGACCTCCAGCAGAGGGTCGGGAGGGATGCTGCCAGCTCTTCTTGTGCTTTCTCACTGAGGCTGCAGGCAAAGCCTTTCTGTCCATTCTTGGTCACAGTGCAGGTGCTGCTGATCACCACTAAACCCTTGGCATCAGAATCTGCTCTTTAAATACTATTTTTTTTATTATTTATTTTTGGTATGGGCCCATGTAAAGGGACCCCCTTAAGAAGGTGTGGTTGTGTTGCAGGTGGGAGTTGTGCTCATTCCCTGTTCCAGCTGGAAAGGCACTGGGAGCGTGGGACTGGCTGTCAGCACGACCCACACACGTTTTACTGGTCCTTCTCGCTCATCCTCCGTGCAAACGTGCAGATCCCATCGTGTGGATCAGTAGTGATGTGCTATCACAGCCATCCAGCTCCAGGTGCTTTTGGGATGTTGTTGCTGTCAGCTGCACCCCAAAACCACACAGTGCACCCCACCCAGCATGTGTACAAACATGCAGATCATTCTTTGGCGTGGACAAGGGGATGTAACATCCAATTTGATTTCCAGTGGCTCAGCAGCAGCAAGAGGCAGCAGGGCTGTGTGGATTTGGGGGACTTATTTTACTCACCAAGAGCTTTTACAAATCTTTAAGCCCTTCTTGCTAGAAGACTGGGCAGGACATGGCCTGCAAAAAATCTGTGGTGGAAGAGGACTACCTGCACTGCTTATTTAGCAGAAAGAGGTATCATTCCTATTCCTGGCACAGGAGCCATGACTGTAAATGCCTGTGCTCAGTTCTGACTGGGCTGGGAAAGCACATGAGTCCCTCCCCACTGGTGAGGACAGCACAGCCCTGGCCCTGCTGCCACGCTTGGCAGGGAGAGTGAGTGGCAAACTGAGTTGCTGTGGCTGCCATGCCTCAGGGGGACACTGGCCCTCCCCAGCCATGGATGAGCAGGAATGGGTTGCCCTGGTTGGGCTGGTGTGTCTCACCAGCTTGAGGTGTGAGCAGGGCAAGCTCCTGTCTCCTGTCTGCAGGCTGATGAGGCTGTACCTGCCAGGCTTTGAATAGGCAGCCTGAGTCTCCTGTATCCTTGCAGTCCTGGCCAAAAAAGGTCACGGTCCTTTTTGCTGCCAGAAAGGAAGAACTCAAGGCACTGCCTCTGTAAACAATGAGTTTGAACACCCTGCTTGTTAGGTGTGCTGACAGAGCGTGAAAAGCCTTCACGCTCCTCTAAACACTGGAGACTAAAGGTCAGCCCAGAAGGCAGGAGAAGGGGAGTGGAGGCACTGGCCCCAGCCTTCCCTCGCTGGCCTCGGGTGTGTGGCTTTTGCCTCTCGGTGAGGCCAGCTGGAATTTATTTCCTCACTGCACTTCCATGGTGATCGAGTTGGGGAAGTGTGTTTCTGTGTGGGGTGCAGGGAAGGCCGACGTTTCACGTCAGATTTAGGGTCATTTTTTATAGGAAAAAAAAAATAAATTGTTCGAGTCCTTGAGCTTTTGGCTAAAAAAGAAAGAAATAGTTTACAAAACTTACCTTTTTCTAGTAAATGCCATTTATCATGAATACAGTGACGCCACCTGTTGGCCGACAGTGGGGCTGCAGCAGCGGGGGCTGGCAAAACTCGCTCCTCTCCCCTCCTCATTTTGGGTGACTCGCAACCCTGGCTATCCCTCCCCTTATTTTAGGGGTCCCGCAGCCCTGGGTGACCCCTCTGGAACCAGCAGCGGCTGCTTCTCCCACCACACCGACACCAGCAGCTCTTGAGATAGGGGATGTCAGTATTCCCATCCTTCTCCTGGGCTGACCCTTCTGCTCTTCCCAAGAAATCCTCTGGTTTTAAGAGGTGAACCACCAGCTACCCAGAACCACTGAGAAAATTATTTTATTTGTATTTTTTTCCTCTCAAGGAATGATTTCTTTCTTCAGTGGTTCTTCTTAGTCAACAAATAAATATTAAAATGAGAGGTGCTAGTGCAGGTCAAGAAAACACTTCAAAAGCAGTGATTTTTATTTCTGTCTCCACTACTGTAATATCTGGGAACAGTCAGGAGCTCAGTTTTGCCCTGGGTTTTATATTACCGTATTTGCAAGCATAAACCTATTTTGCCAGTTGGTGACCCATGGGGCAGCAATGACACATCAATTGGCTCCACTTCTGGCTGTCACCTATTTGTGTTTTGCACTACAGTTACCAACCTAACTCTTCCAAGGGCTTCCATTGAATCCTTTCCCTGAAAGGATTAACCTTTGAAGCATTAACCCTTGAGCTGCTGCATCATTTAAAATTAGTAGGTTGCTCTTTTCAAGCCTGTTCAATAAATGACTGATTAATGCTTTATTTCGGCATGGGGTTTGCTGTTTCTCATGTTGAGCAAGAAGTTGGGTGAATACGTGTGTCATGTGAGCTGGGTTATTGAGTGATTCCTTTGGGTCTCCTGGGCTCTCATAGAAAGTGGCTGGCTGTTTTCAGCAGAGTGATTTGGGATTTTCACTGGACAGTGTGTGCTGGAGATTTCATGTCAGGCTTGAGTCCACTTGATTACAGCTTTCTCCACAAATTGGTGTGTTAGAAGAGGCAGAAAGTAACCATATGTGCTGTCTTTGTGTCAGCTGAATTCTCGGGCTTTGTGAGAGGGAAAGGGAGACCCGTGCAGGGGAGCAGAGATTTGGGATGACAGTGCTGCTGTTATCTGTGCCAAACTTCACTGTTGGGCTCACTCTCCTTGCAGAATGGCTGGAAATTGTTGTGGGAGAGCAAGCATTGATCTGCCTTTGCTTCTGAGCTTGATACTTCTTTAACCATATCAACAGTGATCTATTAGAATAGCTACACTGGCCTTTATTTGCCAAAATTGCTGGCCACCAGAAAAGGGGACACCTTTGTTGTTGGAGGTTTGGTGTCTGTCAACACTGGCTTGATTTGACCACATGGTTCAAAATGCCTGTTACAGGGCATATTCTTTTTTAATTTTATCAGTGCTGTTTAAGCTCTGTATAATTAGAGCCTTACCTTAAACCTCTTTCAAGCAGGTCCTAAAACTCTTTTATTTTCTGTGTTCCTGGTGCTACTAAAGAAGCAATAAAAAGCAATGTTTTTCCTAGAAACCACACCCTTGAAGTCAAACCTCCAGGAAACTTGAAGGCTTTACAGGGGCACCACAGGGCTTTGAGGCACTTGTTGAGGATCCAGGTTTAATGTTGGTGCAGTTGTCATTCGGCCTCCCTTTTGCTGCCTGCATTACCATGAGCATTTTAATTTTATGAATTAAATAATTTCAATAATTTTTATTAATCAAATCATTTTAGTGTTGTTAAATTTGATGTCAGCTTTACAATGGCTTCCCTACACTTTGGGTTTATTCTGCTGTGGAAAGGGAGGTACAAATTCATTTGTGATTTGGAGTGTGCTCAGGAGAGTTGTAGAGATTTGAGAGCTCGAAGGTAAGTGCAGGGAGAGCCTTCAGAGGCTCTCTGGTGGTCAGCAGCTCTCTGCAGGCTCTCCAGCAGCCTGTGGGAGCTCTCACAAAACAACTGCTTCTCTTTTTCCCCCTCTGTTTGATTGTAAACCTTACTCCAAAGTATTACACCTGCATGAAAGATCACCAGGAAATTCAGTTCCTCACTGAAGGAAAGTTGTTTAAAGCCACAGAGCATTGTTTTGTTCCCAAGCACAGGAACAGAGTTTAAATTTTGCTCTATTCCCTTTGTGTTTGTTTTCCTTTCTCTTGTTTTCAGTAGCAACATGAAAAGAGTTAAAATTAGGCTTAAAAAGAGAAAGAAGTTGAGAAGAGGAGAGGGAAAGAATAGAAGTTGCTATTTTTTTCACTTCCTCTCTTGAAATTTTTTATTATTAAAAATTGAGATGTTGGTTTGATTCCCATTCAGTAAGTCTGGAGAATTTGTACATTGAGTAAGTAATGTTGTAACTCCTTCAGATTTCCTGAAGTGAAATGAAAACAATGACTAGCTAATGCCTTTTAAATTTTCAATTTGGTACCAGAAGCAATATTTGATGGCAATAAAAGAGTTCTTTCACTAATTAGCTGGCAGCTTAGTCCTACCTGACTCCTAGAAAAGCTCCCTATTGCTTATTAATGGATGCATCCAAATGTTTTGTGATGTTTGACACATGATGTTTTACTATTCTGGCCATGAATCTAAAGAAGAAAACTACCAGTTCTCTTTTTTTAAAAAATCTTTTACAAAGAATGTTCCTTTGTGATTCAAAAAAAACCTGACCTATTTATGTATATAACTCATTAGATGCTCTGGTACTCTTCCCATTTTTCTTTTC